TGAAGGGGAGGGGGGCTAGCTGGCTCGCGTGGACAATGTCGGCATTCAAGTGCCACTTGAGGCTGACCTCATGCTGGGAAGATACCATTCTTGTATGAAATAGGGGTGGACCCGTCAAATCATGCAAAAGCTGAATGAAATGGGATCAAAGTCACAGGCCACCACCAAATCACGCGTTTCCACAATGAACTGTTCGTCTTTGCCAGAACATAATATGGGCCAGTAACTAAAAAATAATAAGAAATTAATCAGGCAGGGTATTGGTTTAAACCTCTCTTTTGAACTCGGTCACAATGAAATACCTGGCTGACGCCCAACTTCATTATACTGTAATAAGATTGTTAAGAGGTCTCATGTTAGCAAACATGTTGGATCAATGTCACTCCAGCTCACAATGCTGCTGCCACCAGGCCCGGCACGCAGCCCGAAAGTGCCTAGGGCCTCCACAGATCCCTCCCCCTCCCTGTATCGCAGGTTTACTCCGCTCGTCGCCCCGGGAACAATGCCTGGACCTGCAGAAAACGTGCTAGCCACCTCCCTCACTGACAGATAATTACACACCATGAAACGCAGTGGAGTATAGCACAGTGTGGAACACTCTCTGAGTCTGCAGGTTCAAAAGCTGTGTGATGGATGAAAGGCTGGAGGAAGGAAGGAAAACTAGAGGTTTGTAGTAACATACATGCCATTACGCACTACAATACAAGAAGACATTTAGACATGAACAAATACAATAATACATAACAATAAACAGTGACAGTGTAAAGAATATCAGAGAAAATATAGCATGGAATTCCATTATTAATAAGTAAAAATATATAGTATTTGGTTGCACACAGTGCAATGTACGGTGATTTGTGTGTTCTCCAGGCAGATGTTCCCTGCGACCTGAAAAACTGAAATTGCGACGTACATTACATAGCTGGTAAATAGTTGCATTGCAGTTGCAAGACAACAGCTAACTATTTCGGCAGTTGCAGTCAGTGCCATTCGTTGGCCAAACAGCCATAACCAACACTAGGGTAATATGCCTCCATGTAATCCTCTATCAGCTTAATATGAGCTCATTATTCTAATGCCGGGCCTGACATTGAGGCCTCACACATCCAGGGCTGGGGTCTAACCCGCCTTACCCCCACCCTCTTGAGGTTTTGATGTCCATCCTGTGTCTTTATGAGGTCCAGGTCCAAACCATACATAAACTTCATCTGGTGTCCAGCAACCCTACTGATAGATCCCCCTGAGGTTCTTGGTTTTTTTTCCTGGGGGGGGAGGGGGGGTCAAACTGGTAATTTTGCTACCCGACTACATGTCTGGTGGGGTCCCTCCTAAAAACATAAGGTTACATGAAATTACCCATGGACTGGCCCCCCATACAGGGCGTTCCCTTCAGATCCTTTCTGACCCCATGGTGGACAATGGATGGATGGTTTTGTCAGATGCGCTAAGTTCTACAGCTTCTGTTACCAAACTGCTGTAACATCACGTTCGCCATTTTATATTAAGGTCACGTGCACCACAGATGTATCCCTCATTCTCGGTCCCACATTGCAGAGACATAAAAACCACGATATATTTGTTATACTAAGATCAGTAAGTGTCATGACCTGCGCCTCCAGTCCTCGTGTGTGCCACGCCCACCTCGTTACCCGCGTGTACCAGCTGTCTTGCGTTTATTCTGATGTCATGTCCTGTATTTAGTCCGCGTTCAAGTCTGTTTCCCCAGGTCTATCATTGACGTTGTCTACCGTGTGCTCCCTTGTCTGCCTGCTTGCCCGCCCGAATAAACCCCCTTTGTTTTGGATTTCGATCTCCCGTATCCTGATTCCCCGACCGCTCACAACAGGAAGAAGCTACAATATGTAGCTATTTATCACAGCAGTTTAGGTTGTAACTGAGATCCGGAAATTATAAACAAAAACATGTTCAGGTGTTTAGATTCTTCTAGTGAAACTAAAATATCATCTTTCTGTTACACTATCTATAACGACTAAATTAATTACTTTTTGCGTTCATAGTGGCAGCGTACTTGCTTTTAAGCACAACTTTCTCAATAAAATATTTGACGCATTACTTAATAAAGACGGAATGGTGTTTATGACCATAAATTGTTTACATGTGTCGAGCGAGTTGACGGGACTTTTCCCCTGAGTCGGACAGCATTCAGGTGTGACCAACCAGCATATGATATATCAGAGCTGCGGCTGTCTCTCAGCCCAAGAGTTTCGGTTCAGTTCCAGGTTTACCTGCCTAGCTGAATTTTTGGTATCTGCCTTGTTCTCCGTGTATGGGCTTCTACAACGTAACATACTTCACACAGTCAAGGAATTCTGCTTAACCTGCTTCACCTGTAAACACCCGTGGCTCTCAGCGGGGTAAACCTTTTGGAAGATGGATGGATGGGTGGATATCTTATATCAGTTAAGTTTCGGATTAGCGGGCTTATATTAAAAAAAAAGATGGTGAGTGATTTTTGGGCTTAATGACGAATCATTCTAAAAAAAATCGCCGTCCATTAATACTTTTTTTTCTATGCCTCGCATCAACTTGCATTTGCTGTTGCCTTATGGACGTGCAAAGATCACACTGGAGATAACTGATAAAGGGAACTTGGACCAGTCTGTGCTGATTTTCCATGACTAATGTCAAACTACTGAAACTACAGCTGTCACTATATGTTATTGTACCTTGTTCGCACCCATAATAAATGCATCTAACGACTGTAATTCAGCGTGTTGTTTGAACGACCCTCTTTTGTAGAAGTTTTATTGTACTTAAGGCCCACATGCACAAGATATGAAGGTGATGTAACAATGTGTCATAACATTCTTTCCGCCGATCGATATTTATGATTAATTATTTCCATAAGGATATTTTTTTCAAGCTTCAATAAAAGCGACTCAAAGTTCAGTTGCACGAAGCAACACTTCCACCTACATCGTACGGATGTGGGGAGACCTTAAGGTTTTGGGGGGAGCGTCTCCCATACGGCAGTAGCGTTGCCTGGGACGACCGGAGAGTCTGATGTGATGGAAATCACCCTGCGTTTCCTCCCGCGTCTAAAAATAGTCGGCAAACAGCGGAATCGGCCGGTGCTTTAATGAAACAAGCTGTCGCAAATTAGGTTAACCTGGCAGGGGCTTGAATCAGCTCATCAAGGCCCCACAGGAAGAATCCACTCAGGCGTGCCCCCACCCCAGCTCCGCCAAGAGGAACCCACCGCACGCACGGCGGATCGACACTCACCGAGATACGTATTTATTATTTATCGCCTGCCGTCGCAGCTCGCCAATCCTTTACGAAAGGCACCTTTTTGCAACTTGACGCGGGGACACCAGACCCCCACTACACTTATTCGCCCAACGGTTAGTTAAAACAAAGGTCTCACCGCTGAGGGTCTGGCAGGGTCGCTTTAACGCACATTTGCCTTTGCAATCCGTTTTGAAATGCTTCTCAGAGCACTACTCCCCCATTTATTACTCCCCATAATTTTTATATTGAACATACAGTAAGAAAGCTATAAAGCCTGTTTCATTATCTGGTCATCCACTCACAAAAATATGCCTAAATAAATGTAAGAGATAGGCCTGGTTAGAAGAGCTGTACTTATCAAACACGGCTGAAGGTCGTCGGACACGTTTACTGCACCTTCTTTCAGAAATCACCGAGATAAAACATCAGTCGACAAGGGTAAAGTTGGAATAGAGATCGTCGGCAACCATCTATTTGAGAAAGTCTGGTTTATAGCTAAACGGAAGCCTTAAAAGAAGATCTACTTCTACATCCCAAGACAATCTGATGTTTTAAAAAGACCCTCGATAACAAAGTGTGTTCTGTCCTATATGCACAACCCCGATGCTCTATTTTCTTTGTGGACATTTAAGATGGACCATTCCCCTCACGAGACCACAGCCAGGTCGTGCATTAGCAATTTGGAAAAGACCGGCAAGGAGCTCAGTTACCACCCCACCCCCAGCCACGAGCCGCAAAAAGGACAGCTATATTAAAGATGTAATGTAATGATCTAGAACTGATTCCTCTTCATAACCAGGTATGAAAAAGCCATCAAATCCGCGAAACACATGGCAGAGTAAATACTCCGTGTTGTATTTTGGATTACATCATCAACTACATGAAAGACCAGAATGACATCCCATGTGAGAAATTCCCAGGTCCCCTTCATTTTTTACTTCTATAAATGTTACTGCATCTCCATAACTGATATTGTACAAATTTATATGAGCTGTTTAAATTGCTATTGTTTAATCCTAACTTCTTTCAAGTGAAGCTCTATATTAAAGGAAATCGTCTGCACCTTTCCGGAATGTGTCACTGCGTGGGGCAAAACATTAAAATCGTGAATATCTGGAAGCTATGTTTAAAGGGATGTCTATTTTGAAACCAGTTTCACTGCAGTCATATTGCATACTGTCCTATTCTACATAGGCTACTTCTAAAGTGTTGACCTCTATTCGAAGGATGAATATAGATTTATAAATATCCGATTATAACGCATCTAAGAAATCAAGGCAGGGCGCCCATCGGTCTACACAGCATCTTCATGTGAAAATCTAACTAAGGACTGTTGCAATGAACCTTACACCAGTCCCAACTTACGTTACAGGGCAAATTACAGTTATCAAGAACAACCACAGCAAGAACATGAAGCAGCGAACCACATAATATTAGACACATTCAAGCACCCAGAAGGGATCTTATTTATGAGGACTCTACAATTAACAGACAAGGCAGGTGTGCTTGAAGCAGAAAAATATATTATACATATGAATGGTGTCGGCTTCACGAAAGGGTGGTGGGTTGACTCACGCTGCTACGGAAGGCAGCCGCTTCAATATCATTTACAAAAATAAACATTTCTAAATGCGGTGGGTAGGATATGCAATACAACTGGTAAACTGCACTAGGGTTTAGCGAACAGATCCAGTCGTTAAGTTAATTCGGCGAAATGACACGGACTATAATCGGAGTAGGGAACTTACCGATACCTGGTGCTGAATATATGAAGTACAATGCAGAGGTGGACAGGGAAAATAGGAATAAAAGTCCAAGGAATGACCTTCTCGGAAATCTTAAATATCTCGTCATTATAAGAAGAAACGGAACGTTTATTAATATTTCTTTATAAATTAACTAATTCAAATATAAACTCGATCATTTAACCAAGGGAAAATAAAAAATATATATACGTAAATAATACAATCCGCAGCGCCGTCAGCAGCAAGTGGAGAAAATTAGCGTGGTCGTCGGCCAGAGTCTGCATTCGCCAGCCGGACGGTATTTCCCATAACATCCAAAGCGGGCGGCTGCGGAGGCGATCCCCGTACGGCTGAATGGGCGCAGGTGAGCCAGCGGGCGCTGCTGACGCTCTGCCGGCGGACGGACGGAGATCAGGCTGACAGCCCGCTGCTGTGCGCCGACACTGAATGAAGGCGGAGGGCGTGTCTCTGCGATCGAATAAACCAATGAAAGTTGTCGGCGTAAGGGAGCGTCGACAAAAACGTGTTTTCCCTGGCGCAGGGACTAAATTTCCACGTCCCTTTGTGTGTAATACGGAAGACCTGCGATTCTCAATTCACAGAAATAAGGAAATTACAGACGCTTTACATTTTGATTTTTTGGCTTCATCTTAATTTACAGGGTTGTAAACCACAGTAATACTACTTACCAAAACAGGTCCTGTGGTATCTGAAGATTATAAGTGGGTAAACTACAACAGGAAAATCCCTGATCTAGACACAATTTGCTGTAGGCCATTAGGTAGCTTAAAATAGAAATAGACTCAAAGTTTTTAGAACGTAAGTCTTTTTAGACAAATTTGCGGTACATATTTACAATTTCTTCATGCCGAATTATATTTTTAAACGCACTACACCAGAAACACCACTTTAACCTTGAAAATTATTAACGCATTTATTTTAAAAGCACGAAAATTGAAGATAAAATAAATTTAAAAAAAATTCGGATCAAAAGGTTTAGTAAAAGTTTCCTAAATATCTTAATGACCATCTTTAAAATAGGCGTATTTTAAAGATGGTCATTAAGATATCTAGTCTACTTTAACATAAATCCTTTTGATCTGAAAATTATTCTGTATTTTGATTGCTTGAATTGTTTAGATGTTGTAGACCTATGAAATATATCGGAATATAGTTCAAATTTTACATTCATATAATAGAGTTTACATAATATAGTGCCAACGGTTGTGCACGAGGATATGCTTAATTCAGCAGTATTCATCCGTTGTCATCCCAATGTATTTAAAGGATTTAAACAGATCATTTAAGAAGGATGCATTCCTAATACTTTAGCTTCCAGGAGTAGAAAAAATGAAGTGGGATGCGGACAAATGGAAATTTTACGGGGGAGGGGATGTCATAAATTGGCATATGTGAAGGCTTCTAGCCGATAAATCCCCTGCGCACGACTTAATGCAAATGATCACTAGTATAAATTTTCCTGACGAGACAGGTCCGCCTGAAGGCTGTGAAAACGTGTCAGCAACAGATAACGCTAGATGTTACACGATCTAAAAAAAAATCGATTCCGTTCTAAACGGAAATCCTTGTAGAAAATATGTTACAGGCGGTAAGTTATAAGCAAACGTGCATGGCATAATGTGTTCAAACTCAAGAAAGAGAATAATACAATGCTCAAACGTTTATAATCAAATATACACGTTTAATGGCTCATTATTGTGATTCAGCACCCTAAAACATTCTGCTGTCAATAAGCCTATTTGAAAAGTAGCCTACTGATATTTATTGATGCGGTGCACAATATGACAAATTGCTTGAATCTTGAGAATTGCCTGTAGTGTGTGAATGTCCAGTGTAATGGGCTGTCCCACTGTCAAGAGTGGCTCTTGTTCTGTGCCCCGTATTGCGGGGCCCCTGCCATCACGTAACCCTACTAGAAAAAAGGTTGGAGCCATCCATCCATCCATTTTCTGTACCCGCTTGTCCTTTGCAGGGTCTGGCGGATCCGGAGTCTATCCTGGCAGCTACAAGTGTAAAGCAGGGAATTACCCAGGAACGGGTGACAGCCCATTACAGGGGGAGTGCACACACACACGAACATACGTTCACACCTCCAATTCACCTTAGCGTACTCCGAAAAACTACAAGTTCCAGAGCATACCATACCATACCAAGCAGGATGCCGCTATGCTTTCTGGGAAATGAAGTATAAAACATTAAACAGCGTTTTGACATTTCTTTGAGCAACAACAGTGACTGCATTTCTTTTGATTTTTAAAAACTTCTCGTTCTCTTGCACGATTTATTCAATAATTTGTAAGGCTTCCACAGTATATGTCTAAATAATCTAGCTCCAGAGACTCAACAGTTACTACAATTCCCTTCAAGAGAGGGGTCTTGATCCAGGAAATGGGACTTCGGCTGATGACACGAAGGGACGAGACATGGAGTCGCATTTGCAAAGCATATTTTGAATAATACAAATGTGCAGTTTTGGAAAAATGGGAATTGGCAGCCGCGAAACAGTTACGGGCGTGTTTCTCTTGCTGGCGGCCTGTGCGGCGAATCGGCCCCAGAGCCACGACATCTCCTTACAGACTGGGGATGACACCCAGGCCAAGACAGCTTGGGAAGGTGTTGGCAGCAACGCTGGCGATGCGCAGTCTCAGCCAAAGGACCGAAGTGTGACCTCCGGCCAGCGTACGGGGCTCGGTCAGCTGGACGGTCCGATCGGGTGAGGACATGTTAATTATTTGTACAAATATAACCCACTGGGACGGTCGGTTCCCGACATGTCGCATCACTTACCAAAACTGTAAAAATGTCACAAGTCATATTTCTGACCCAACATTCAGTGATGCCAGTTATAACAGTGAAATACGTTAGTAAATTGCACCATGTTCTCGAAGATATTAGTCAACGAGCGTTGAAACCGTACTTATGAAACTGCATGGATCCTGAGGCTGATCGTTCATTTCATGTAAACACAATGCATCCTGGACGGTCCTTTCAATGGGACTAATATATTGCTTGTGGAGTGTGTGCGATGCCTGTTAAGTAAAAACTGGTGTGTTACAGTAAATGATGATGAAAATCGTAAACATAATTTAAGTAGCATGAAGTGGTCAGGTCATTCAGATCACTTGGTAAAGGAGCTGTGTCAATACCTTAAAAATATTGCATGTGGAGTCCCTTTTGCCTTGTGACATCTTGCCTATGTCTGACTCACTCCGAATTTCGTATGATAGCCTACATATAAAGTTAAATTTAGTTAACACCGCACTTTTTATAGCGTGGTCTATATTCGTCAGTGATAAGTCATTTCTGGTTCATGCGGCAAGCACTGGTAACACAGCACACGGTTACTACTTAGATATTTTCAAATGTACTTTTATCCCATTCCGGGATACAGGAATCAGTCTCTGATACTCGTATATTAACAGGCGCAAAGAATTCCTTACTCTTAGTTATTGAACCTTTGCAAGCCGATAAACTGTAAGTTGTGATTTAATTGTTTATGTCGGTTTCAATAGTGGTAGATGTAGGATACAGGATTGTCGTCAGGTGGCTGGCGTGAGATTTTCAATTCGAGACTGCACACGCATTTACATGTATGTAACAGTTTTATTACCTTGCAAAGAGTCTGTTAGGTTTGCAAACTACCCCAACGCTTTTGATGCAGCTAATTTTAGGTTTATAATGGTATAATATAGATTTACCGTAGGATTTCAATGAGAGTCTGAAAGCGTGAGTGTCCAGCCAGATGCGTGAGAGTTGGCGACCCCGAAGGACAGATAAAGTGATTTAAAAACTGAGCCCCTTTGCCCTCCGCTCCCGCGTGCAGCCGGCTGAACGACACGGAGTTCGCCGGAAATGACACGCGACACGACGCTTCCAAAGCTGTTACCAAAGCAACGACACTGGCTCCAGCTCCCACCCCAAAGCCCATCCTGCCGGTGCACACGGGGGTGAAAGCGCAGGAGGAGGAGCAGTCCAGCGGGATGACTATATTCTTCAGCCTCCTCGTCATTGGTGAGTTTCAGACAGTTGGTCAGTGGGGCCCCCTCACACCCACCAATACGCAATATCAGTGTCTCCCTTAAGTGGGAATTCCTGCTGTCTTTCTGGATTCATTTGAGATGCTTTGAAATGTTACAGTTTGAAATGTGGACAATTAGTTGGAGAGTTCAACGGCACATCCAAAAGACACAAAAAGATACACTTTCTTTTGAATGATTACTTGGGAGGCACAGACAGGGATTTTGAAAGAAGTATGAAAAAGAAGTACGGATGCCTCCCACTGAGTTTTGATCGGTATTTACATCTGACAAATGGTTCTTAATTCCTACATAATGACAGATCTGCACTGAAAAAACAAGTTTTGTACGGATTCTACGATGATATCGCAGGGTAATAAGTTTGACTATTAAACACACCTTTTAAACCTTTGTGACCCCGGTTTCTGAAAGTGAACCGATGGATGTCATAATATTTGAGGCGACTTAAAGTAAGCCGTAAGTTATTTGGATTAGTAAAGCTGAGGAGGTACTGCAGATGTTGGTTGCTATGGTAACATGAATTAGAATGAGTACTGAATCGTGGTCATTAGAATTGATACACTCCAGTTTCTGAATTACTTCCCCATTATATATTTTTCGAATGGTTTCTCTAACTGACACCCAACATAATTATCCCACCACCTGCTCCTCCCTCAATAAAAGCCTCAACCATTCATAAACAACTCAGCAAGTAAACACATAAAATCCAACTTCTGGCTCATAAATTATAATTAAAGATTGCCTGACAAGCAGCCTGAATAGCAGATGATATATCTGTATGGGACCCATCCTTTTTCACCTTAAATTTAGGCATTTTTGCATAATACAACAGCGTGCACTTGTTTTTATTTGTTACTTTTTAGTAGTTATTGGAAAGGCATTGTTTTTTGGTTGCAGATGGACAGTCCTGAGCACATATTTTCTGCAGTCCACCATTTGCATGTTTCACAGCCATATTTTCCATCTTAATTAATTTATTTTTGGTTTACCCCAGAAGTGGTAAATAGGGTTAAGGGGAACGTGTGGAAAACAGCCTCAGCCCCTAAAGCTGTTTCATCACGTTGGGCGAGAAGCTCATTTCTAGAGAGATTTTCTGCCCTGACCTGCTTCATCTTTGCCCTGACTGCAGGCCGAAGGGAGCAGGAGGTCGTCCTGAATGGTCTCTGCCTCTTTACCGTTATATCGCTTTATAGAAGGTTGCAGATGCCATCATCGCTCACTTAGGCTTCCGCTGGTGCTGATTCACCGCTTTACTGACTCACGATCTCCTCCAGTTTCTGTTGCTGTAACCCAGCGTGATGCCAAAAGATTAGGGCCTCAACTCGCTGATCGAAGATAAGGCTAAACCATTGTAGTGCAGGGGTCCAGAAAGGGCCGCAGTGTATGTGGGTTTTCGCCGAAGCTCCCTAATTAGGTTACTAATTAGAAGACTGATTGCCTGAAGAGTCCACACACCTGGGTTTGAACAGCTGACCTACAGATTATCCCAAAAACCTGCATACACACCGGCCCTTTGCGCATAAGATTGCCCACTCCTGGTTTAGTATATTCATGAAATTCTACATCTAAAGATACTTATGAATGAATTCTGTAATATAAATACCATGTCAGTGTTATAATGCCATATTATAATTGCTTATACTGTATAGTTTGCATGCATGCATCTATGGGTATTTTTTTCAATCATATGATATAATGTCTTGTGGTAATATGTTTATATGTGTATGCATATATCATGATTCAACGTTGATATAACGCTTTGGAAAAGCTAATGGGTGTGGCCCTTTGTATTTCTTTGAAATTGATATAATGCCGTGGTTGTGTTTGTACGTATTTATTCAGCATTCATGTACGACGTTTGGCAATTTCTATATACTTTGGCAATGTCAATAGGTGTGTCCATTGGTATTTTTCCTATGCTAAGGTAACGCCCAGCCAATGTCTGTATGTGTGTGTGTCTGCAGTTTTTTACGGATGCTAAGCTATGCAGTGAGATGTGTCCCCCATGTGCCCCCATGCTTACTGCATGCCCCGTCCAGCCTGTCTGTTTTCTGATTGTGATCTAAGCTGCAGTGTCGCTCTGCAGGATTTCATGCAGTTCCTCTTCTCTCTGCAGGTATTTGCATCATATTGGTGCACCTGCTAATTAAGTTCAAGTTGCATTTCTTGCCGGAGAGTGTTGCTGTGGTCTCACTGGGTAAGCGAGAGATCCCTGCCCTAAATCCTGGGGCTTATAATCCACTGCCTGTCATTAATTTGACTGCTAGTCGTTACCGTATTTAGATTTGGTTCTTTTTCGTTTCAGCATTTGTTTTTGGAAAGATGCTCGTTTTTGGAAAGAGAATTCCTCAAAATTAAGATAATCTCGCTTTCGGGCGTTAAGGTGCTTTTGCTGTGGAAGACACACATCAGACGTAAACTTTGAGGGACTTTGGCACCAAGTGTCATTATCTAGGCATGCATTACTACACACGTTTATTGGCCAACCCCCTTTTCAAGACTCATGAGGAATTAATCCTCAGTGCTGCAAAGACGTTTGCTTTCTCAATTCACAAAAAGAGTTATTAAACAAACATGAGCAGAGTGTGAATGGCTTGGTTAAGTCTTTACAGGTTCCCGCCTTTTCTGTTGAACTAGTGCAGTGCAACTAGTTTACGGTGCACTAGTTCAACAGAAAAGGCGGGAACTAGATAATTATCTGCATGCCTAGATAATGACACTTGGTGCCAAAACTGTATGTTAGGTATTGTTTTTTTCTATCTTCCTTTTTCTCTTTCTTCATCCTCATAATCTTTCATTCTTTCTTTTCCTTCTCCCAGTTTTGAAGTTCTCGACCCAAAATGGGAGATTGAATCCCCTCCTCCCAGCATGACCCTGTTACTCATGGCAAACTTTTTGCCAAATTTTGAACAGTACCCCTTTTAGTGCATTTTTAGGAATGTTTGGAAACGCGTGATAGTGTTTAGCGGGAATCTGTGGCATGTGTTGATGATTCCAGCGCTGTGCCTTTAAACTTGACGTGTTCCCCTGTTTGTTCCTCTCTGCCATGTGCCCAGGCATTCTCATGGGGGGCATCATCAAGATCATAGAGTTCCAGGAGCTTGCCAACTGGAAGGTAGGTGCGCGCCTCTGGAAAGACCCCGCCCCCACGGTGGTCACATGACCTCTGAAGGGGTCCTGCACTTCCTGATATGGTTAAAGTCCCTTTTTGTCACCCCCCCCCCCCCATATCGTAATCACTCATCGCTAAAGCCCCACCCCTAACAGCCCCCTGAAAAAAACCTGACCTGGCAGGTAATGAAAGATGTGCTGAGGATCTTTAATCAGCTCACTTTTCTCCACTTCTCCATTAGACTCTTTTTCCATGTTGGTTTGCTGTGGCCTGCAGGCGTTCTTCTGCTCAGCTTTTCCTGCTTTTAATTAACATTCCTTGTAGGATGCAGACCAGTGAAGTCCCCCCCCCACTACAAACATGCCTATTGTTTGAAATCCGGTGGGGTCTGGTGCTGATTCATCAAATCTAGTAACAGAAGATGCTGCTTCCATAACAGCTACAAGGGACCTGTTCAGGGTTAAAGCTTCTTTATACTTAAATTCTTGGCAAAAACGTTATTATTTTGCTATTTATAAATCTGTATATTAAAAGATAGAACACTCCTTAGGGACTGGGATCTGAACAAACAACCTTCAGTTTTTTGTTCCTTATTCGGTACAGTTCTGGTACAGGCTTCATGATATGCTCTGGCTCTCATTTGTAGTACGGGAAGTTAAACCTCGGTATTCGGCTCCATCCAAGCTGCGAAAGGCCAATTAGGGTGAGATAGCTGTGTCCTGGGTTTGAGTACATTTTTCCTTGAACTGCCAGCCCATGGTAGGTTTGTTCCATGTGACCTTGGCCAGTGGTTTCCGGGACGACAGCAAATTTGCTGAAGTGGTGAGGAGTCCAGGCCTTGGCTGCTGCCTGCGGAGCGAGATAAAGATCCGCTTCCTCTGCTGTCGATCCTGCCAGGAACGGCAAAGGAAATGTACGACCTGCCTTAAAAAAAACAGCAAACATGAAATGGCAGCTGGGAATTTGGACCAGGCTAATTTTAAACTGGTATTGCTCACTACAACGCACTCACACTCATCGCTCTTCCGCTGTCCGGCTCAGACAGATCTTGTTTATGAAGTTCTGCAATTCATTATAGGGTCCAGATGGACCAAGGCAACAATAGTCTTCCTTCTCAGTCGGATGGGACTTTGCCCTTTTGTTCAGGGTCGTTGTCGGGGGGGGTTGTAGTCTTTCATTTGTTTGGGCTAAAAAAAATTATATGGCGCGGAGGGAATTTAGAATTATCAGTTTAGTAAATAAGATAGCAGAAATGAAGTGAAATATATAAGCTTAAAATAAACTTCAAATATATTTATGTTTGATGGGCTGGGTTAGCGGGTGGGTCAGCCTGTGTTTGGGTCTTGTGGTTCCTGGACGTCACTTGTATTACAGGAAGGCTTCCCCCCTAGAGCTGAATGAAATGGGCACGGCGCCAGATAGAGTTTGGGCCACAAGCCCATAGTAAGGCAGCACGTTTTCCCCAACAGCTTGTTCTGAGAACATGTTTCCCTTCCCAGCTCAATGCAGGGCCCAGGGTAGGGCAGTGAGCCCAACTCCTCTGGATCAGGGTGGGTAGGGATGTGGGAGGCTTGCAAAATACCAGAATCCTCTTGCATTACACAGCCTTAGCGTTAGCCCTTTAGCAACACTGCTTCAAGGCATGCAGGATTAAAATCAAATACAAAATGTATGTCTATATACTGCATTCCATGATACAAAGCGCTAAGGTTACTGTGTGCCGTAGATGTGAACATTTCATTCAGTGAGTGTTGCCACATACTTCCGCCGGCGTGACTCTCGCTGTTTGCCGTAATCGCTGATCCGTCATCCTCCTCCTCTTTGCTGACAGGAGTGTTTCAATTGCATCGAACTGTCTTGCGTTGCGCCTCTCGCTTCAGTCTTGCCTTAACGTCTCTTTTGGATAGAGTTTGCTCTGAACCATGGATTTCCTCTCTTCTTAGTCCATCCCTTGGTAGATTTTCTGCTGTGCCATGAGTTAGTGTCGCTGTGAGGCTTTAGTGCACGTTGAAACCTGACCCCCCTGGTGCTGATATCATAGGGCACAGAAAAAGCATGTGACTTGTGCACTAATTCAGATCACCTGAATTTGATTTTCTCTTTAAACACGCCTAGTCCCTCGGGCTTGACCCCACACCCTACTGTAGGTGCTGTTGTGTGTGTTTCCCTGGTTCTGTCTCTAATTCTCTCTCTTGATTTTTTTTGTTATGTGTTCCTGTTCCCGTCCCCAAATAAGGTCCCTATCCCTCCCTCTGTCCCAGCCTTTAATCTTACACTGTAGACTCTGTCGTAGTGCAGACCAGTGAATCTTTCTGAAAAGGCCTCATTAGAATAGAATGTCGTTATTGTCAATATACGGGTATCAGAATCAGAGGATTGTTTACATTGGTTGCACAAATGTACATACAACAAAAATGTTGCTACAAGGTAAGGCTGGGTTATATAAAAAATCCACTATGTTAATAGAAAAATGTTAGGATGAATGATAATATTGAGTCATATACCGCCTCCACCACACACTGAAACGTACGCAACACCAAACAGGACGTATGAGGAGTTAAAAAAAAAATAATGCCAATGTGTTTCTTTCAACTGCATTGGAAACACAGGCTCGAAGCCTGAACTGAAAAGCGAATCATAAATCTTTCTGTTATCTTCCAGTGTAGCCCAAGCCGACTTCCCTGACAAAGGCAATAATCGCTGGTTACCTGCTGTTAGGTTTCGATGCCGGGTTACTTATCTGATATTGGTTACAGATAATATTGTCGTATCACCCAGCCCTAGTAGAATTTACCATAAGACCTGAACAAGATGTCAAATTAGATAACAGTTTTTAGATGTAAAGCCACACGTTTTTAACCAACATATCAAGTGTCAATAATAGTTTAAGGTAGCTGGAGTCTGGCCAGCAAGTACATGGAAATTTCAGTGTTTGCATAACTTGTTTTGCTGTCCTGTGAGACACACACTGACATGCAGGTGAGAGCCAAGCCTGGGGGATCTGGATGCAGGGTGACTCATTTCTCCCCTGGACTGCTTGGGGTTAAGCATAGTAGGATTAAGCTGTATTCGAAACGGCGGCTTTCCAGTCACAAGCACTGACCTGCAGAGCCGTACGCCGCCCTTACTAGACTGCTGAGCATTTACAGACCACCCCTGAGATCCTCTGAGGTCTTCTTAGATCTACGGTGTACTGTATTATGCTATGGGTCAATCCATTGTGCGACATTAGCGGCCACCTAGGGCGCCCCCTAATGTTCGGAAAGCGCATTAGCCAGGCGATCCCACTTTGCCTGGGGTGAGGGGGTGCTGACAGTAAAACTTGTCCATGATGCCACATGGGCTTGGATCAGTACTGCTAGTCTGTGCAGGTTAGGTTAAAATAACAAGGCTTTTAATCGGTTTATAAAGTTTACAAATGTAATGTAAATCTGTTATCAGCTGTGATTCATGGGTCCTGGGAAAATCTGATGAGTTGAATGGCTTTCAGTGCGTAAAATGTCGTTGCTCACTTTTGTCCCCCACAGGAAGAGGAAATGTTTCGTCCCAACATGTTTTTTCTCCTCCTGCTGCCGCCCATAATCTTTGAGTCAGGGTACTCGCTACATAAGGTGAGTCATTGCTGCATTTGCATTTGCAGCCATGTGTCCGTTTTCCAGAATCGCTTTGCCTGCCAGGGTCAGCCCTATTACCTATGGTATGAAACAAAGAGCATAAAGCAAGGGGCTCCCCTCCCCGGCTGGGATGCCAGTCCGTCACAGGCCACAAGCATTAACTACACATTTGTTATCCTTCAGGAAGCTGCGTCACTCATTGTATCACACTAACATCCATAACTACTCTGTTACTAGAGTGTTGGGGCCTTAAGTCAGTACAGGAAAAACAGCAGACATTTCTAAAGAAAAAAAAAATGAAGATAACCTTCCTGGAGAACTTTTCTGTTAGGTTTACTGAATTTCCTTATCAGTTAAATGACAGCCATGATGGGAAGCTTGAATTAAAGCCTCATTGGCCATCATGACCTGTGTGCATTGTTTTACCTTCCCCAGGGAAACTTTTTCCAGAACATTGGTTCCATCACCTTGTTTGCCGTGATTGGAACAGCCGTCTCAGCCTTCATAGTAGGAGGAGGCATCTACTTTCTGGGCCAGGTGATGTATCTTATCCCGCTTCTGTTCCACGTCCTCGTCTTTTGCACGACTATTCGTGCGGTAAATTTTGCACAGACCTTCACGATGTTGCAGGCTGCTCTAAAATCGCGATCTTGTCTTGTGCCTCTCCGTCCCTGTAGGCAGATGTCATTTACAAGATGACAATGACTGACAGGTGAGAGTTTAACACCGCTGATTGAATGATCTGTAGTTAGTAACCACATGCTGTTTAAATAAAGCCAAGTCAGTCAAAGTCTCACACGGGCTCTAATTTCCGCTAAGTTGTAGCATCAAAAAGCTGTGCTTGGGGAAAATAGCTGATCTGTAGGATGCTGGACTGCTTCAGATATGTCAGGAGACTGAAAACAGGTTGTTGTGTGGGTTTGGAGAATATCACCATATTTTAAATGTGTATATTATATGGGTTTGAAGTTTATTATGGTGAATTGTATTATTTTTTAAATTCTTGATAGTTGTCTTTATTGTATCAGTCAAAGTACTGTAGGGAGAGTGTAGTTTAAAGGTCTTTTGCATTGATTTGGCACCTTGATTACAGGAAGTACCAATAAATGGTCAGAGTTTGATACAGGGATATCTGTTACTGATAGACTGGATAGATACTCTGACTAGGAATTCTGTTACTTCAATCAGCTGCATTTCAGCTTCCATTCATTTTTGAAAGAATTTGACAAGAAAATGACAAACCGGGAAAACTGTGAAGTACTTTACGAGTAGCAGTTTGACAGCTTTGAGATTTGTAGTCTTTTTTTTTTTCCCAGAACACATTTTTAATTTGCTCCAAAAAATGTAAGTTAGGACAGACGCTAGTTAAAAGTGAATTTATCATATAAAACATGACCCTGTGACCAAAAACCTGGCATGTTCATTCGATTCCTTCAACACCACCTTAGGGCTTCCAGGATAGGCTCCATACTGTAAAATGAAATTGGGTTAATCTCTTTTTTTATACCGAAAATTAGAAATAGATTAAAATGTCACAACAGAAATCACTTCTTTCTGACATATATGTTGGCGTGGTTGGAAGCCCAAGCTGTTTGTACTTAATTTTTTTTTATTGTGGAAAACCTCTTAATGGAAGGTAGTTATGGGTAAGTGTGAAGACACGCTGCAGATTTTGCATGATGGAGGTGTCCGCTTGATCCCCAATCGGTCGCTCTCTCGTGTCTCTGACCCAGCTTTGCCTTCGGTTCCCTCATCTCGGCCGTGGATCCTGTGGCCACCATCGCCATCTTCAACGCCCTCAACGTCGACCCCGTACTCAACATGCTGGTGTTCGGGGAGAGCATCCTGAACGACGCCGTCTCCATCGTGCTCACCAAGTACGTCCCTAAGCACTATCTTTGAGGTAGCTACTAACTAATAGTAGGCCTCTGATGACATCACAGCAAGTGTAATGCTTACTAGCAATGCCATGTAAGAAAGACGCAGTGATGCTTCTGTTGCCTGAGCACCAAAGGGCAAACATTTCAGTTGACAGCTCATGTATTTAGGTGATGCCAAAATCTGTTGCAGTTCTTTCCAGAACATACCTATTACATATAAATTAGTATCATACTGGCACGAGTTCAAAACCCAACCCTAGTTAGGATTGGGTTTAGGGTTAGGGTTAGCATGCAGGAGCTGTGCATTGTGGTATATCACTGTTTTGTTTTGTAGCTAGTTTTATTAGCTTTCAGGATATATTAAGCTAGTTTTGGCGTATCTTTGCTAATTGAAAAAAAAAAAAATACTGATGCCCTTCACAAGAAGGTGTAATGCCGTTGTGGGATACTGACCATTGTGAATGAGAGTTAAGTTTCTCGTTGGACTTTATGGATGGTCCAGCAAAATTTCGCAGTTTGTTAGGACCCTGGGACATTTTTGCGATTATGTGTTAGTAGCATATATGCATTTTAATGTACTTTTAAAATGCCTTTTTCCATATAATAGCCTTACCATTAAAAGTGTTTACCGTATTTGTAAATGGACTAAAGATACAGGGTTTGTAAAGGTCATTTTAGTGACTTTATAAAACCTAAAAAAAACCCACACATTTTAATGGAATCGCAGCGGTCTTTGAAGCCTGGGTATGGGAAGGATCTGGTGCTCTTTTTAAACATACACTTCTTTTTCATTACACTTTTGTGGACCTTTTTTATGGGTATTTTGACCTGTGATCACAACTCTAAAACTATGCTAGCCAGAGCACACATTTAATCAGTCTAAAAATATCTTTTGATTTATAATAGCTCAGTAAGCTTGCTTTTTACAAACACAGTGACACTTGTTATTTGCCTTACTTGTACGTTGGTTTGACAAAAGCAGCGGCCAAAAAAAAAAATGTAAATGTTTTAGATAAGCGGTTAAAGGATGGATGGATGGATGAATGTTTCAAAGTAGGGGTGTGCAAGTTGATCATATTAGACTGTGAACGATTAAAATGTCTCCACTATCTGCTTTTATGGAGAGATCATTGGTGTTGTGCTTCAGTGCACATTCTATCAGTTGCAGTTATATGGCTCATACACGCATCTACAGCAGTTTTGCCAGCCAAATCTGATTCGACACACCAATAAACCGACACTCCCTTTTGCGCCCTCGTCCCAACATGCAACACATTCCCTATTTGGCAACCTAGCGGACAACATGGAGGAGTTGGTCCCTAAAACTAATTTGAAATTGGTAATATGGAACATGTTTGCACTTTCCAAAACCAACAAACAACAGTTATTTACAAACTTTGCAAAGATAAGGGTCACACGTTGGATGGCGGTAGATGATCCTTTTTAAGCACCTCAAAAGAAAACATCTGAAAGAGTATGTAGAGCTTTTATTACCTTATATTTTGTAAAATAATAATAATAATAATAATAATTGTAACTTGCAAAATAGTCTTAAAACAAACATGAAAAATAATTATGAATTGTGAATCATGATCCTGCCTGAAAAAATTGTGATATGATATTTTTGCAATATCACCTGCACCTATTTCAAAGCACATAAAGCAGGGGAGACACGTGACGATGACAGGGACCTGGGACAGTATGGAATTAGGTGTGGTTCGTGTAATGGGGGGGGGTGCTGGTATGAGAGAAC